ATTGTACTATTGTGCTGCTTTGTTTTTAATTCTTCTTTGATAATCCTATTAAATTACCATACGAAAGAGAGTTTTAACATTTTGTTTTAAATCTGCAATTTAGCAGATTCACTTTCGAAGTAAACAATATAAAAAGTATCGACATACTCATTATATTACTTTCCTACATTTTTTCACATTAGTGCATTTACATATACATATTTTCTCAAAGTTAATTCTTTTTTTGCTTTTTTATCTGTTTTATCCCAATCCGAACAAAACAAAAACTGACAATTAAAGCATGTATACGAATAAGGGCGTAAAGACCACTTTGCCCAAATCGACAATATAGTGTTTATCTGGTCCATTTACATCTATTCCTGAAAAGATATATTGAAAAATCCAAATTTTCGCCAAAATATTTAGCTTTAAAAGCACGATTTTGTGATATTATTTTTTATTTAAGGTAAAAATATCACAATCATCAAGTATTTTTTGTTAAAAATCGTATAAATAATTATTATAATTTCATCAAATTTACAGAATAGGAGCAATACGTTTCAATTCTATGAATTTCTTTATTATATTGAAAAAAAAAATACTAGTTTAACATTAGTCTCAATAAGGGGAAACAAAAAGGGCATACATATATCCATAATTATAAGTATGTAGATATTAACAAGAAAATTTTTGAGTTTTTTAATAGTTTTAAGTTAAGATGTTGTTCGACCTTATAAGGCATTATTGTAATAAAAATAACTATAGTTGACATTGTCCAGACCTCTAACTTAAAAATATTGAAAATTTAAGTTATAAAAATAGAAAAAAGTTGATTTAATTTATAGTCTTTTAATAATTTAAAAGGATGATCAAGGACTTCCTTGAAACTTAAGCAAATTATACTATGGTCTCTTATGTTGATGCTGTCCAAGTTATATCCAATTTAGTTGGTAATAAGTATATGAAAAATCATTTATTTCTGAACATATTCAACAAAAACAAGTAAGAAAGTATAGACGGGCGTGGCCGACCATATGATACCCTACACCAGTTATGAATATTAAATGTGATTTATTTTTCATAACAAAGCATTTATCTTGATTATTAACTTGATTCCGAATTATTTAAGCAATTTATTGACGAAAAACTAATTTTTTTAAAGAGTATTTATATGGGGGATAGAAGCAAATGTGGGCCGATCCCGATAAAATGGGCTGGATAAATTTATATCTATATAATATTTGTCTGTGATAAATTTCATTGCAATAACACTGTTAATAAATGAATAGCGGATATTCAAGTCACTTTCCGAAAAGGGCTTTGTATGGGGGCTAGGTTCAAATGAGGTCCGATCATTTTGAAATTCGGCAAGGTCATCAAGGCTTGCATAAAACTTGGTTGTGCGAACTTTTATCAAGATACATTTATATTAAACATAATTATGAGCTCAAAAGCCCTTTTCGGGGGGTTCAGTTGTATGGGGGCTAGGTGAAATAATGGACCAATTTTAAATATTTTCAATAGGCTTGGGTCAAAAGAAACGTGTATTCCAAATTTCATAAAATAATCTTGAAAATTGCGACCTATACTTTGATAACAACATGGACACACGGACGGACATCGTTAAATCGACTCAGAAAGTGATTCTGAGTCGATCGGTATACTTGAAGGTGGGTATAGTACTAATATCTTAGTGCGTTACAAACAGCACAAACGCATAATACCCTTCCTACTATATTGGTGTAGGGTATAAATATATGGATATATGTCCATATTCCATTATAGCAAAATTCAAGTGTCGATTTTTGCAAGTTGTGATTTGAATTTTTTACTGAAAATTTTCAGAGGGATGGCTATGAATAATATCTGAGGATATATTTAAAAAGTTGATCAAAAATATATAATTTTTAACTTTTATGATGTTTTTATGCTCTCCTGTATAATTTCCCAAATGGTTTATATGCCCTTATTCGGGTCCATGCTTCAAATATGTTCTGTTAAAATTTTATTTAATTGTATTAATACTGTACATTAGAGTGATTCAAGCTTGTATGAAGGAAAAAAAATTGTCTCACAGGCCGTCACCCCTCTAGAATTGTTCTATGGGTTGTAAAACTATGTCATACAAAAAATTAGGCTGATTGGATAACGTTAACAGGTGCCGCAACGGCTCTGAAGTTTCCAAGTGCATTTACAAGGGGAAAATATCGATTTTTTTTCAGTTTTTGCTCAATCTTGGCTATTTAGTAATAAATTTTAAACTTTATTGTAAAGGAATCGTAATGTGCACAGAGTAAGCATTTCGGAAAGATATAAAACATAAATTGCTTGAAAACTTTAAAAGTTATTGCAAATTCCCCAGGCCATTAAAGTGTCTCACAGCACATAAATTCGAAATGTGAAAAAAATTTACTTTTTTTGGGATATATTCTAAAAAATAATTTTGTTACTTCAAATATATCTATAATTACTAGAATATTAGTTTTTGCCCTTACAAAATAATGCTAACTCGTTCTCAGCTATGGTAAAAAAAGTTTTATTTTTTCAACGGCCGTTTCAAATCTCCAATTTCAGTTTTCTTGAAACTTTGTTAAACAAATTTCAAAATTTTTAGGATATCTCATGGGGATTTATAATCAATAGATGTTAAACGGTAAAAAAAATTAGATCAATATTTTTTACAGTTTAGCTGTACCTGCGATTTGATTTCAGGATTTCGGGACACCGCATTTTTTTGTAATATTTTAAAGAATACGTATCAATTCTTTACTGTTGTACATTTACATATTAGTATTATAGTCCAGATAATATATAACATATATCCGAAGTTTTATTATAATCGGACATTTTTAACCCATAAACTGTGGAGTTCAAAGGTCAAATGTTGCAATATTTGGGAATTTTTTTAGTTCACCATATCGAAATACTATTTATTTGTCGGCCACCTTTACCAGTAATTACTGGAATTTATCGTATATAGTCCGATATTTAAAATAGAGTGAAAAAAGATTAACCCTTTAAGGTACTTGGGAACAATTTAACACCAAAGAATTCCCAAACACTGCAAAATTTAACCTTTGAACTCCAAAGTTTATGGGTTAAGAATGTCCGATTTTAATAAAACTTCGGATATATATTTTGTATTACCTAGACTATAATACTTTGTTAATATTTTATTTAAAATATGCAACAGTAAAGAATTAATACCTATTCTCTAAAATATTACAAAAAATGCGATTTTGCCGAAATCCGCCGAGTTCAAATCGCAGGTACAGCTAAACTGTAAGAAATATTGATCTAATTGTTTTACCGTTCAATAGCCTTATCTATTATTCGAGTAATTATACATATATTTTAAGTAACAAAATGTTTTTTTTTTAGAATATATCCCAAAAAAGGATTTTTTTGTCACATTTCGAATTCATGTGCCGTGGGACACGTTAATGACTGGGGGACTTTGCAATAACTTTTAAAGTTTTCAAGCAATTTTTGTGTTTTATATCTTTTCGAAATGCTTACTACGTACACATTACGATTCCTTTACAATAAAGTTCAAAATTTATTACTAAATGGCCAAATTTGAGCAAAAACTGAAAAAACTATATTTTCGCCTTGTAAATGCACTTGAAAACTTCAGAGCCGTTGCGGCACCTGTTAACGTTCGTATCCTATCAGCCTAATTTTTTGTACGACATAGTTTTACAACCCAAAGAACAATTCTAGAGGGGGGATGGGCAAAATTCGAAAATTATTTTTTTTGGAGCACTCTGCTGTACATAGTTATACCGGAGTTTTTAAACATATTATGAAACTGATCACTTTTATGTGAAAGTATGTACTTTAATTGGTGAAAATAATTGTATTTTGCACTGGTGTGTCTGCATTTTCAGCATTGTCATCTGTGTTCAATGCTTGTAAAGGAGTCCAAGTTAAATCGGCTCATTTTGAAGCCTGAGGAATAAACAGAGGACCTTAACTTCTCAGTTTTAGTGTTTGCCTGTCGTTTAGAAATGTTTAACGTAACTTTTATAAAAATTTCGTTACAAAAAGAAGAAGAGACACGTCATATACCATCAAATGTTGTAGCGGTACTGTCAGAACTTGTTTTAAAATGTCTGTAAAGCAACTAAATTCGACATAAACAAGTTTTATTGGAACTAAAATCTCCCCATTTAAGTATATCGGATCGGGTCATAATTGACCCTACCCCCCTTATAAGACAACAAAATAAGACATAAACAAGTTTTATCGGAACTAAAATATCATTCACTTGAAATATATTGCACATGATTTGATGATGGGTATAAAAGTTTCGGCATAGCCGAATATATCACTCTTACTTATTAACACATTCATACTCATAAAATTTGGATTTATGGTAACATAAAATATATTTATGATGAATTTCATGTCAACATTAGTCTTTTTAAGCGAATTGTGTCATTTTCTAAAGTACTCTTTTTATGCAGCTTAAGTTCAAATGAGGCTCGATCGTTACAAAATTCGTCAGGCTTGTATAAAACAGGTTTTAATAAAACTAAGTTATGTCGCTTTTTGTCGAGATACGAGTATATTAAACATAATTTTAAGCTCAAAAGCCCTTTTCGGGAGGTTCAGATATATGGGGGCTAGGTGAAACAATGGGCCGATGTTAACCATTTTCAAATTTTTTCCTGGTAAAATAGAAGATCATATACCAAATTTCATTGAATTACCATAAAAATTGCGATCTGTAGTTTGATTAAAAGGTTTACATGGACTGACGGTCAGATGGGCAGACATAATAAATCGACACAACCGATGAAAATATGGACTTTTTTCATAATTATAACAAAACAACTTATTACCGGACAAATAATAAGGACTTACTTTTGGAACATATCGAAAAAAAAAAAAAATAAGTACTTTACTCGATTAAAATAAAATTATTTTTAGCGAATATCAGAATTTTCACACAATAAAACGGAAATATGTGACAGTTAATACAAGAAATTAATTAATTTTAAATTTAAATTTTTCAGGTTAAAATATGGTTTCAAAATCATAGATATAAGTGCAAAAGACAAGCTAAGGAAAAAGCAATGGCAGAACAAAATCAACAAAATCAGGTATTGTTAAATATATTGTGTGTATTGTAACTTAAAGTATGCAAAAGCTGCTAAAATTTTGTACGAATATCCTTGTGATCCATATGAATATTTTTGACAAAAATGTGCGATCCAGCATTAGGGAGCGTGGCAGACACACTGTCACGAGTGTAGACAGAAATGGTTAAAATCAATGTAGGATATTTTATAATTTTTTTAACTTTTTGCGTTTACATTAGAGTTATATATGCTGGATTTCATCGTGATACTAGTGTTTATTAGTGAATTATTGACAATCAAGTCATTTTCTGAATGGGACTTTGTATGGGGGCTCGGGTCAAATAAAGTCCGATAATTACGAAAATCGGTAGTATTATTAAGACGTATATAGAACTAAGTTTTGCCGATTTTTGTAGAGATACAACAATATTTAACATAATTATGTACTCAAAAGCCCTTTCCGGGGGGTAGGGTTGAATGGGGGCTAGGTGAAATAATGCACCGATTTCAACCATTTTTAATAGGCTTCGTTGGGCCGAAAAACACGTATGGTCCAAATTTCATCAAAATATCTTGATGAAATTTGTTGTACAGTGTTGCCAATTTAGCACTTTTAGTGCTAGATTTAGCAATTTTTAAACTCATTTGGCACCCAAAATTGTAATCTAGCACCTAGCACCTTTTTTGTCATTATACCCTACGTATTAAAGTATACCGATCGATTCAGAATCACTTTTTGAGTCGATTGAGACATGTCCGTCCGTCTTGCTGGCTGTCCATGTAAACCTTGTGCGCAAGGTACAGGCCGCAATTTTCAAGATAATTTATTGAAATTTGGACCAAACATGTTTTTTTCGCACAGGGACGAAGCCTATTGAAAATGGTTGAAATCGGTCCTTTATTTCACCCCCATACAACCGTACCTCCCGATTTGGGCTTTTTATGCCATAATTACGTCAAATATACCATAATCTCTCCAAAAATTGGCACAAATAAGTTTTATATAAGTATAAATGATACTGCAGATTTTCGTAATGATCGGCCCTTATTTGACCCTAGCCCCCATACAAACCCCAATTTAAAAGTGTCTTAAACGTCAAAAATTGACTTGTAACCATTTGTATCGCAATGAAACTCAACATAACTAACTATTATTTAAAAATATATCCTTTTCCCAAATTTAATGCGGATCGGCCAATGTTTGACCTATACTCCTATATAAAGCCTCAGTTAGAAAATTTGTTTTTTATCAATAAATTGCTTACTTTGAAATAAAGGTAAAATTCAACATAAAAGTTTCTTTATGACAAATAAAAATTTTTAAAATATACTCATGGTGTAGGGTATTATATGGTCGGCCATGCCCGACTATACTTTCCTACTTGTTTTTCAAATGTTTTTTAGCACAGTTTAGGATTTTTTGTACATATTCTTGCATGCCAATTTTAATTGTTCTTCTGTAAAAATATGGTTGAAAATTAATTAATTATGTACAACATAAAAATTAATGTTTACTGGTTATGTTCGGTTCGTATTTGATGAGCTTAAGTTAGATTTTAAAAGGGCCACTTCCTATGGAAAATGGCCCAAAGCTAAACTAAAATCTTATATTCAATATACACTTCCAAAAATTTTTTGAATTGTAATATTCTTTACAAAGGATTTTATTTGTGTCTTCCCTTTAGACTTTTAATTAAAAATATCATTATAATTGCAAACTCAATTTCAAAAATATTCACAACCAAAAATGTTTGCGTTACTCATCAACAAACTCGTTTAATGGAACGTTTCTGGAACTAGTTCTTTAATCAATGATTTAAGTTCGTGTTTGCTACCCTCTGATATAGTTCTAGAAAAGCTTTAGAGAACATATACACCATCTTTCGAACTAGATCTTTTTCCAGTGATTTATGATTCAAATTGTTCGGATTGAGATACATTTTTGGAAACCGTCAATTATAATTAAAATTTCTTACAATAAATTCGAGATATTTTTCTACTGGTTTGAAGTAGTTTTTTTTTTAAATCTGGACTAGTATCCCAATGTAAATATTTGTAACAATGGAAATATTGAAAGAAATGATTTCATCGGAACTTTTTAATCACAACATTTTTCGACAGAACTGTTTCGAGACTTAATGGCGATATTTTTTAGTTGTAATGTCGCAGTTCCAGAATCTGGTTGTTTACTTCCGATCTAAAAAATTTATTGAAAAATAAAGCATTTATCTTGAATATTACCTTGATTCCGATTTATTTAAGCAATTTATTGACGAAAAACTTATTTTCTAAAAGAGGCTTTATATGGGGGATAGGAGCAAATTAGGACCGATCCCGATATATAATATTTGTCTGTGCTAAATTTCATTGCAATAACAGTGCTAATAAATTAATTGCGGATATTCAAGTCACTTTCTGAAGGGGGCTTTGTGTGGGGCTAAGCAGGTTTAATATTTAGTTTTTAGTTTTATTTTTTTAAATGTCTTGGTTTCGTTTTCTTACTAAGGGACGCACAGTGGTATAGGAAAAAAAAAGAGGGAAATAATTCGGTAACTTCTAAACGGTTAATCCGATTTTGATGAAATTTGGTATGCACAAAGAGGAGTTGTTGTCGAGTTTAGGTTTTGAATTTGGAGCTTATAGGCCAACCAGGGGCCCGGCGGGGGGTCCTCAAATTAGGACACCTCGGCTATGTTAAATTTTTAAAACAATCCTATTTCTTCATTTGAGTTCTGATTTAAAAAAAATTTCGTATATAGAATCTCCTCATCGAGCACTATAAAAATGTAGCAGTAAATTATCTCTTATAGTTTAGGAGATATTCGCATTTGAAAATTAAAATTTTAAAATTTTTACCGTCCTTACTTTAGTTTTTTTTGATAATAGCGGGTCCAAATATTCCGGATTTTCGCCATTTTTTTTATTCGCTTAGCAACAAGTTTATATATCAAGCAGTGAAAGAATTATGTAAAAATCATGACTGAGTCCAAAGTTATAGGCATTTTAATTTAAAAAATAAAAAAAAGCGATTTTTTGTCATTTTTTTGGGAAAAAAGTATCTTTTTCTTTTTTAGTTATCTAAAAAGTTTCTAAGAAGATGTATATAGAATTTATACTTTTTGGAAAGCTGACTTTACATAAAATACGATAAATGAAACAAAACCTAAAAGTTTTTGATACCGAGGGGACCAGGTCCATCCAAAAAAACCCTATTTTTTATGGAAAATTCAATTTTGAGCAAAAGTTCTCAAATCGCATAGTCGATATCAAATTATAGTGACCTGTTTTATATGACCCAATATGTTCTTAATCATTTTGTAACGGGTTTCGATAACCCCGCCCCTGGTATGGATATAATAGGCAAAAAACCAAAAAATCCCATTTTTGGGATTTTTTAAAACTTTTTTGGGAATTTCGGGATTTCTAATAAGAAAATTCGAAATTTTTATTTAATTTTGGATTTTGAGTAAAAAAATCTACCTAACTGTAAAATTTCATCAAATTATCATCAACATCATATTTATAAATAAAATTTTTATTGCAATTTGAAAAATTTGTATCTTCGCAAAAACTGAATAAAAAACATTTTTTAATTTTTTTTAAAAAAGTATTTCGCGAATTTTTTAATTTTCAAAAATTATACACTGTTTTGAAAAATAGACAAAATTACCTCTCCATTGATATATAACATGCCTACCTAATGTTTTTTAAGTGACAAATTAATGAGGGAAAACTCAACATCTTTTAGAGAATTTACCTAGTACTATTATTTTCAATATATTTTTTTAATATATGTAACAAATTTAAGAGTTAACCTTATGGATGAAAATAATAGTACTAGGTAAATTCTCTAAAAGATGTTGAGTGCTACGACGACATTTTTTATAGTGCTCGATGAGGAGATTCTATATACGAAATTTTTTTTTTAAATCGGAACTCAAATGAAGAAATAGGATCGTTTTAAAAATTTAACATAGCCGAGGTGTCCTAATTTGAGGACCCCCCGCCGGGCCCCTGGTTGGCCTATAAGGTCCATACATACATACATACATACATACATACATACATACAATAACAAAATCTCACTAAAAAATCATCAAAATGCTTAAATTTAAATCAATTTTTATTTAAAGAAAATATCTAATAGTATAGTAATTTATAATTTTATAAATTTTAAATTAATTAACAATTTCTATTAGCAATAATTATCAATTACTTTGTTTACTTTTGTCAATTCAAACACAAAAATATACAATATACTAAAAAATAGCATACAATAACAAAGTCTTACTGAACAAACAACCCATCAAGTTTTATTGTTCAGTCGGCTTGATTTGTACTAACCATTCAAACTATTAGTTTTTTTTACGTCCCTTAGTAAGAAAACGAAACCAAGAACTAGCAATACGTAAGCAGCACACGCAAATCTGTTTTTACTGTTCAGTCGTTGTGTTCAGTTCGGCTGAGTTGAAAAACTTAACATGGCCGCTGCTTGTGTGTGTGGCTGCTGAAGAAAAACAAAACCACTTGCAAGTTATTGCAGCAATGTGTTGACACAGTTGACTGACTTCAGTTAGCTTGTAAGGGGAAATTTTACTAAATTTAGTCAAATATTTAGTAATTTGCGACTGCAATTAGCAGTTTTTTGAAACCCTGGGGCTAAGGTCAAATGAAGTCTGATCATTTCGAAATTCGACGAAGTCATCAAGGCTTGTATAAAACTTAGCTTTCATCGAGATACATTTATATTATACATAATTATGAGCTCAAAAGCCCTTTTCGGGGGGTTCAGTTGTATGGGGGCTAGGTGAAATAATGGACCGATTTTAACCATTTTCAATTTCCTTGGGTAAAAACAAACGTGTATTCCGAATTTCATCAAATTATCTTGAAAATTGCGACCTGTACTTTGATAACAACGTTTACATGGACACATGGACGGTCGGACGGACATCGTTAAATCGACTCAGAATAGTACTCAGGTATAGTACTAATATTTTAATGCGTTACAAACATCACTA